TTGTTTGAATTGACCATATATTTGAACCTTTTCACCTCTCATGGGCACTTGAATTGTAAAACCTTGAAAAGGTTAAAGTGTGGGGTGGTTGGTTTGGCTTTTGAGTGGAGCTAATGAAATAAGGAGAAAAGTGCACTGTTTTGGAAAAGTAAGAGCCACTAGAATTGAAAAAATATATATATAGTTATATTGCTGTGAAAAATATTCTTTGATAGTGATGACTCACGATATAATAAAGCTTAAAAAGAAGTATGGGGTAATATATATTGAGGTGAAGAAAGAGTTTTGGTTTGACATAAGGATGGGCTTGAGTGTTTAAGTATATGTATCAAAGTGCTTAAGGGAGGTGTAGTCACTCATATCCAAATATATCCTACTCGACCCGCAGCCTACATTACAACCAATTAAAGTCCTACTTGATCCCAGACTGAATGAGCTCGATTAGTAGAGTAATACACTACGGGCAAGCCTATGGTGCATCATTTGTGGCATATGAATATTATTTCTGAGAGTGAGTGAATTCTTTCTATCTTTAGTTCCTAAGCATCTTAAATTTTATTTTATGGACCTACTCTCTTTTGTTGTGTGAGGGCACTTGGTTCATGAAGGAAAGGTAATGTCATTGACCTCTATGTTAGAGTGAATGGGCGAGTTGTGAATAATGCAGGGTACTTTTGAGTCGAATCTTGAGGGTCGGATGTTATGATAAGGTGCTCAGTCTACTTTAATTATTCTTGGCATGGTGTATCAGGGAGGTTGTTTGATGAAAGGTTATCCATAGGTGAAGTGTAGCTTAAATGCTCGAGGACGAGCAATGGTTTAAGTGTGGGGTGTTGATGTTAGTCTAGAAACCCATGTTTTAGCCGTAGTATTACATTCCAATTATTACATTTTCACGTGTGCTTAAGCTCAAATAATAGTGAATTACACTTAGTACGTGTTTTATGCCTTGCAGGAAGTGATCCCGAATTCAAAAGTTAATTTGGAGCTAAATCAATCAATCTAGAGCTTTGAAGTCTGAGTAAAAGCCCAATACATTAAACTGGAATCGTGTTCGGAGGTCGTGTACCAAGTCTGGATGTCAAAAGAGAATGAAATAATTTCACTTTGAGAAAATTACACTGTCGCACCGCATGGGGTGCCACAGTATAAAATAAGTGGCCTGCCAATCCTGCTGATAAACTTCACAAGCGCGTCGTACAGTGCGGCGCAGAGTGCGCCGCGCCTTTGGAATTTTCCTGCAGTCTATCAGAATCAGCTCTCTGAAATTTCCCACAAGCACACCGCATGGCGCGTCACCCCATGCGGCGTGCCTGTACAAATTTTACAGAGCCAAGTCCTATTTCGCGCAGGAAAGGGTGTTTCGTCTGGGCCCGACCCTACTTGGTATAAATACATATAAAAACGCTATTTTGAGGACTTTTGACACAGCTGAGACCTAGGGAGACTATTTTTGGAAGGGAGAAGACGTTTTGGACAATTTCTGGAAGAGATTATCATCGAATTTTTCATTCCTTCATCTTTACTTTGTAAATTAATTATGCAAATTATTTGGGAAATTGTTACTATGAGTATGAGTAGCTAAAATCATAATCTAGGGTTTTGATGGAACCTGTTGAAGGATGATTTTCTCGTAATGTTAATATAGATTTGTCATAGTATTCTCTCTATTTGTTCAACTAAATGCTTATTGTTGTTAATTGAAGAGCCCTAAATTAACTGTTCCTATTTAGTGTGAATTATTCGGAAGAGAGTTCATATTTAGGTAGTTGTTGAACATCATCACTCCTAATATATATGAGGGATCAATACGAAGGGTTTAAAGGTGGGATTAGGGAACGAAACCTTGAGTGCGATCTAAGTGAGTTGTACTTAAGGCTAGCTAGCGTAATTCAAGAGAATATGTCTAGTATATTGTTGTAATTACTCGGGAGAGAGTTACGACAGTCAGAGTGTTCGTGATCGATAGAGAAGATTTAGGCAAATTTATAGAAAACATAACGGAAAAGATTCCAAGAATAGGGAAAATCAGAACCTTAGATCATTCTCATTCTTCCTTACAAACCGTTTATAGTTAGTTCTTAATTACTGTATTTTCATTACGTAATATTTAGTTAGTAAACATCCAACCTATTATGTAAATATCTCTGAAGATTGAATACGTGAATTTGTGTAAATTCAATAGCTGTGATTGATAAGTTAATTCCCTACGGGATTCGACTACGGACTTGTTAACCGGAATATATTTGCAGCGACCACTTTGTCCTTTTTATAAGGCATAGTTGGGTGTGATCATTTTAAATATATGGACTTTTTAAATATAAACATAGATTATTTTTAAATCAACTAATAAAAATTAATATCATATAAATTGAAATTGAATGAATAGTAATTATACGTGAGGGGGTTTGGGGGAGGCATGGTGGGTGGGTTGTGCAGATAAATAAAAGAACAGAAAATTAAAAATACAAAAAAAAAAGTAAAATTGGGGAAACTAAGTAAATAAAAAGTAAAATTGGGGAAACTAAGTAAATTTCTACATAAGTTAGGTTGAGATACATTTTGTTTTGGGTGAGTTTTATGGGCTTAAATTGTACGGGGCCCCCTATTTGGTCGCCCCCATTTAACCTATACCTATTTTTTTAAAAAGTTTTAACTTGTACCCACTTTTTAAACAACTTCAGCCTCATTTCTCCTCCTCATTCTCCTCCTCCTCCTCCTCCTCCTCCTCCTTCTTCTTCTTCTTCTTCTTCTTCTTCTTCTTCTTCTTCTTCTTCTTCTTCTTCTTCTTCTTCTTCTTCTTCTTCTTCTTTCTTCTGTTGCTATTGGTGTTGTTATGAAACTTCAGTTCATGGAATGATTACCATAGGTATGTTTATCAGATTATTTAAAAATAAATTATAAATAATTACGTAAGTCAGTAGACAATAACTTACGAAAATTACGTCCTACTGTGCTGCTACTTTTCTTAATTTCTTTTGAAAAATAAACCAACATTGAGTCAAATATTCTCTTATAGTGACGGAACGACATTCATTTTGGGTAAAGATATATGTTCAGATCCCAAGATTGCTCGTAGACATGTATGGATCGTTCTTCCTATATAATGAACCCAGTTCCCTTTTCCTTATCAATGAATTTGCTTGCATGCCGTCTGTGTCTTCTTAATGCATATTGGATATTGTCCTCAGTTTGATGCTTTACTAGAAATTAAAAAACTTCAGCTTATATAGTGCTGAAGTTTTTACAAATGAACTAAATAATTTCAGTATCTCTGTTTGAAGTTTTTGAAAAAGCTTATCCAAGACAACTTCAGCTTATTTAGTGCTGAAGTTTTTATAAATGAACTAAATAACTTAAGCATCTTCTGCTGATGTTTTTGAAAAGGCTTATCAGGGACAAAAAAACTTCAGCTTATTTAGTGCAATTACAAATAAAAATTTCAGCAAATAGAGAATAAAACTTCAGCTACTATGCTTAAGTTCAGCAATTACAAATAAAAACTTTAGCAAATAGAGAATAAAACTTCAGCTACTATGCTTAAGTTCAGCAATTACAAATAAAAACTTTAGCAAATAGAGAATAAAACTTTAGCTACTATGCTTAAGTTCAGCAATTACAACCACTTGGTTCAGCACACTTGCTACTTCTGGCCCTTCTACTAGAATGCTGAAGTTTTGTGTGATTACTTACGCTAAAAAGCGGGTACGTTTGCAATTTTTTTTACAAAGCGGACACAAGTTAAAACGTGACCCTAAAAGCGGGTATAGATGCAAATCCCCCGTTTTATGGATTGTATTTGGGCTGCTTAATGGGTCAAAATGGGTTATAAAAAATAATGGTAAAAATTGCACGGGGCGCCCTATTTGGTCGCCCCCATTTAACCTATGCCTATTTTTTAAAAAACTTTTAACTTGTACCCACTTTTTAAATAACTCCAGCCCTCTTTCTCCTCCTCTTTCTCCTCCTTTGTTTTCTTCTTCAAGTTACAAAACAAATTGATATTTATCTCCAGAAGCAACGCTGTAGTTGAACAGTTCGACAGTTGTACTTCTACTCCAAATTTACAGCAAATTAGTCTTAGAAAAAAGTTTAAGTTACCAGTAGGGTTTGTTTTGGATTACTCACTGTTGGAAAGCGTCTTTGTAAGGCAATTACTTCTATTCAAACATTTCTGCACAAACTTTGTGAAACCCAAACCAGGTCGAGCAAAATGAGACAAGAGGGAGTGCTATATTCTCTAACTAATATATCACAAAATTCATTGTTGGAAGCTACAGTGAAAAGGCACAAAAAGATTAACAGGAGATGATTTTACATTTTTAGAGTTGGTATTTATACATATCTGTTCAAGAGAAAGCTTCATTTATCCTATTGATTTACAAGAAAAGAAAGAATTGCTTTCTTACATTCAATGTTTAATTTGAAAAGAAGGAAAGACTTTTTCCTTGCTTAGAACTTGGGAGAACATCAACAGAGGAACTGCAGTTATCTTTCCAGCGTCTTCATTTTCTTTTTTAAGTAACATGTACTATACAATGATTGGTAGAAAACCATCTCTGGATGTCAGTGGACGAAGATCTGTCACTTCATTTAGTAGGGAACAAGATCTCCTAATTACAACACAAAAACTTCAGCTCTAGAGCTGAAGTTTCCAGTTACAAGAGCTGAAGTTTCTCAGTTACAACACACAAACTTCAGCTCTAGAGTTCGCCAGTTCCAAAACAAAAACTCTAGAGCTGAACTTCAGGCCCGGCTACTAGAATGCTGAAGTTTTGCATGATTGCCTTTGCTACTTCAGCCCCGTGTGCTGAAGTTATGCGAAAAAGCGGGTACGCTTGTATTTTTTTTGCAAAGCGGACACAAGTTAAAATGTGATATAAAAGCGGGTATATATACAAATACCTCAAAATAATATGTTAATTTGGGCTCAATCTAAATTGACTCATAAGATAAAATATTTGTTACTCAACTCATAAGGTATGGGGTGGATGCATTTGGGTTCAAATTGCCACCTGTAAATTATAAATGGAGGTCATAAACCCTCCCTTTCATCTCTCGTCTCTCTCACCTTAGGGTTTTACAGAAATGGCGACTCGTTATCTGACTCGTTCCTTATTCACTGCTCTCTCTCGCCCATACACTTCTCTTTCTCTCTCTACACCTCCTCCCTCTATCTTTTCTTTCTCTCTCCTCCGTCTTCGACCACTTATCGCCGTCGCCGCTGTCAACCTCCGCAGCGTCTCTCCGGCGGTAGCAACCTCCTTTCGAGGGTTTGCGACTCGGCAAACGTCGTCGTCGTTAAATGACCCGAACCCGAACTGGTCCAATCGTCCCCCGAAGGAGACGATCCTACTTGATGGATGTGATTTTGAGCACTGGCTTGTTGTGATGGAGAAACCTGAGGGCGATCCTACCAGAGATGAAATCATCGATAGCTACATCAAAACTCTGGCTAAAGTTGTTGGAAGGTTCGAATTGAAAATGCTCTACTTTTTTTATTAATAATTTCTTCTTTACATCAGTTTAATCATAAAAAACTAATCACTTTATATGTTGTACTCTATGCGGGCCCGTTAACTTAATTAATTGGTCAGAAATGGAAGTGATAAGAGAAGGAAAAGAATTTGTATGTGTGTGGAAATGTAGAGAATTTTAGAATCTCTAGTTAGTTTTAGAAGACAAATTATGTAATTTAATAAAAAGAAACAAATTCATTCATAATGTTTTCCTTAAACTAATACACTTATTTGCCGAGTATATTTGTTGTTTAGTACCTCTACATTCAAGATAGAATGAGTGTGAACACCTTAGTGCGTTGCCTACGACTGAAACTAAACTTAACTGAGGCAAAGCGACCTCTACGAGCTTTTCTGAGTTTAAGGCCTTAAATGAGTCTTTGACAATACTGTTGCAAATGGAGGGAAATGGATATTGAGGGACCATATAGCTAATCCCTACTAGCTGAGATTGAGGGATAGTTGTTATAGTTGCTGTTGTTTACTTTTAATAGTTTGCCTGAAAAATAAAAGTGGGTACTTGTTGATGGGATACGCTCAAACTTTAGAAATGCTTGGGATAATGGCAGAGTCGGGAATTGGCACAAAGGGATTCAAAAAAACTTTATAATATCACACTTAGGATGTGAACCTGTGATCTAAATCAATTTTTTAACCCTTTGCCACTACGCTGGAATTTTTTAGTATCGCACTTAGGATGTGAACCTGTGATCTAAATCAATTTTTTAACCCTTTGCCACTACACTGGAATTTTTTCCTTATATGAAGGGGATTCAACAGTTTATCTTTTTCCTTATTTGCACAGTGCGATTTTCGACGAAGGGGGTTCAACTGAAACACCTTAATCTACCTAGCTCTGCCCCTGGCTTGGGCATGCGAAAAGCTTCCAAAGAAGTATAGTTAATTGTTCTAGATGACTTATGTGATTAATTTACCTTGCAGCGAGGAAGAAGCAAGAATGAAGATATACTCTGTCTCGACAAGGCATTACTATGCATTTGGAGCTCTTGTATCCGAAGAACTTTCTTACAAGCTAAAAGGTGACATATTTTTAGTGTTCCTTTTTTCTTTAATCTTTTTTGGTTATTTCTTGATCTTATAAACGTATTTCTTAAAATTAAAGAGGTGAAACTAAACCTTCATTTCTTCATCCATGTGCAGAAGTGCCGAAGGTTAGCTGGGTGCTTCCTGATTCCTACCTGGATGTTAAGAATAAAGATTATGGAGGTAGGTTGTGACTAGTGGTTTTTTATTGTCAGACTTCTGGTGAAATCATAATATGATTATATTTTATTTTAAATGAGTAATATGCTAAGCATTTGTTCCTGGCCTATAGACTTCGGAGCGATGTCTCTCTTCAATTCTGTTCTCTGCCTGAATTAGCTTCCAGTCTGTTATGGATTTGCTTTGCTATCCAGTCCCTTTACATATCTAATCTTTGGGTGATCCCATTTTGTTTAACATATTTTGATTTGCATGGAGATTTTAAAATATCAATTTGACTTGTATATGACATGATCTTAGTGAAGAGTTGAAGTGCTAGCTAAGGGAAATACTAAAACTGAAGCAAAGGTTTGATGGGGAAAATGAATTATTATTTGTCAAAATGAAGTTGAATCCCTGAAATTTGTGTAAGTTACATAAGGTAGTATTATGGTTGAAGTATGTCAGCAATGTACCGAGTCAGAAAATGTCATGTTAAATGAGACAAGGGGGGAGTATTAGAAAAAATGCGATTGAAATATTAAGTGCTTGATTCTGAAAAATAAATTCATTTATGATTTAATACATGGTCAATATAGTTTGACATAACGTTGGATGAGTCTGCAGTATTGTCTCGGGAATGAGAAGCAAAATCCTTTAGGATAATTTTTTTTTATGTAATTGCACAAAATCAATTTATGACGATATGACTCATTAATAGCTCTTTTCCTTGCTACAGCTTATGATGCACTCAGGCTTCTTTTTTTATGTTTTCTGTGTCTGCATATTGTTGATTGCATGAAAAGCTGTCATACATGTCTATCTTGCCCCTTGTGGATATAAAAAGGTTCTTTCTTGTACACCAAGTATTGTATGACAGTTGTGGTGCATGTTGCAGGGGAGCCTTTTATCAATGGGCAGGCTGTACCATACGACCCAAAGTACCATGAGGAGTGGGTAAGAAACAATGCCCGAGCTAATGAGAAGAACAGGCGCAATGACCGACCTCGTAACTTTGATAGGTCCAGAAATTTTGAGAGAAGAAGAGAGATGCAGAACACTGGACCCAACATGGGTGGTGGACCTCCCAACATGACGAATGCGCCACCCCCAAACATGGGTGGGATGCAGCAGCCTAACATGGGCGGGAGGCATCAGCCTAGCATGGGAGGACCACAGCAGCCCAACATGGGAGGTGCACCTCATAACTATGGTGGAGCGCCTCCCAATAACTATGGTGGGTCGCCTCCCAATAACTACGGTGGAGCACCTCCCAATTACTATGGTGGAGCGCCAAACAATCCAACCAATTTTCAATACAATGGTGGACCAACCAACGGAGGCATGCCTTACCAAACAAGTCCAGGGCCAAATCAGAATTATGCTTCAAATACATCTGGTGGAAACCCTTATCAGAATCAAAGCATGCCTGGAAGAGATGTGCCCCCTCCAAATCAGAACTATGCTCCGAATACGGCTGACAGAACCCCTTATCAGAACCAAAACATGCCTGGAAGAGATATGCCCCCTCAAAATTATCAATAGGCCATTGTATATGAGTATGAACTTTGTATTTCCAGAATTCTATTTCACGAAATGAGAACATATTTATGGCGTGCTTGATAGGATGTTGCTGCCCGACTGCCCGTAATAGTTGAATGTGCAAAACTTATATGCTTTGTGAGTATGCAATGCCAAATTGTTCTCATCCTATTGTATTTTCATTGCATCCTCTATGTTGACATGCTCTCTGTGAATTCTCCTGATGAGTTTACTGGCCTGACCAATAATTTGTTATGCTTTACCATGTCTGAAATTTCAGGGCCTCATTGCAGGTACCATTCGCATTTTTGGAAGACTTGCCCACTATTATGGCTACAGATGTTTTCAAAATGACAATGCAGATCTATTTTGCTAGAAAGCCTTGTGTACTCATGCTTATCCTTGTATCCATTTAAGCCTGAACAGATTATGCATGATATTCAACTACTTCGAGCATAATATACAACAGTGCTAGAAATGCAGAGATCGTATACCTTGAAGGCAATTCATTGGTGTGTCGTGTGGATGTCAAACTGCATCCAAGGGATTCTGTCTTTCAAGTTTTGCCCAGTGTTGTCAAATGTCCCATATATGCTCCCATTTTTGTGATGCTTGCCACTTCTTTTTTGTGTATTGAATTTAGAAACCTGTTCTATTGCGTGCAAAAAGATACTCGGCTAACAGTTTGTAGTAGCTGTTATCTTTCTCCTATGTAAGGGTGCATGAAGGAGAAAGTGTCTGGATTTCAATTGGATATGTTCTGTTTTGGGTACAGATCAAGTTGAATTTTCAAAAGATAATCCAGTGTTAGAAGTATTCAATTCTACAATAACATATCTAATATAATCCCATTAGTGGGGTCTGGGGAGAGTAGAGTATATGTAGATCTTACCCTTACCCCGAAAAGGTTAGAGAGGCTGTTTCCGCAAGACTCTCGGCTCAACAGAAGAGACAATAATATCAGAAAATAAACACAAGAAAAGGCCCGTAACAAAAAAGATGCCAGAAAGAAAATAACAGCAACAAATAAGTGAAAGGATAATAACACAAAACTTAGGCGGGTCATGTTGTTGACTGTAGCATTTTCTTTGTCACACTCGCATAACTAATTGCCAGGCTAGCCCTCCACGCCAAATTCTCCTCCACTTGTGAGTAAAAAAACATGATTCAGGGGATGACCAAACATAGGTGCGGATATGGTCTTTTTTTCTTCTTGTTTTTTTAAAGAAAGAATGTTCAAGTCAACTTGAACTCGCCTATGTTATTTCCTTGGTTATCTTCCACCGGCGCAAATATCGAGTAACTCTACATAAAAAAACTTAGTAATATTAAAAGAAATTACCTATTATCAATGCCATATACTTGTTATATTTCGCTTCTCAAGGGTCAATTTGACTAATTTTAAGCTAAATTGAATCAGATTAATTTATTCTTTTAAAATTAAAATTTAAATATTCAAAAATTATATGAAAGATACTACTAATTACAATTTTTCTCATATCAAAATAGCAAAAGGATACACGCTAAAATGTTGGTCAAAGTTCATATATCGTGACTCTCGTGAAGCAAAACATGATAAGTATTGACGGATGAAAAGAGTATTTATATGTATAGCCAAACTAATTTGGCTCAAATTAAGTGTCGTTTTAAGAAACTAAGAAAGCATTAGTTTTTTTTTTATATATATAAATATCTAATATCACACCAATATATGATTCAAAAGGTTCGAGAGGCATGACTGGAGTGATTAAGGGAAATTCTATCAACCAAAAAAAGTCTTTATGATTAATTTTTATTTAGATCACTCAAAAAATTTCAAAAACAATCCAAAGTTATATTTATATCCAAATACAACTCTAATTTTCAAATATCATTTTCACTTGAATTTTTTTTCAATTTTTTGGAAAACTTTACAATTCTTATGTCCAAACCTCACTAAATACATACTCCATATGTTCCAATTATATAGTGGCATTTCATTGAGCACGTACTTTTAAAAAATATTTATTTTATGTACTAAAATAAATCATACTATATATTTGTATGTTAATAAATTATTTTGTTAATAATAATAAAAGTTTTAAAACTAAATATTTTTAAAATATCATTCTTTTTAGTCAAATTATTTTCCTTCACACTTTTTTCATCATCCCCAATATAAATCTACTGTCAGCTTCACTTCTTTCGCTGCTCGACGTTGTGACCCCTCACACTTTCTCCATTTCAATTCATAAACTATTCCAAATGACTTTATCCATGTTGAGATCTGTAGTCCGGAGGACCTCAACTTCCGGCGCGTCTCGCCTCACGCGCCGCCAATTCTCATCGGAGGCCGCACCGGAGAGGAAAGTCGCAATTTTGGGAGCAGCGGGAGGAATCGGGCAGCCTCTTTCACTTCTGATGAAGCTGAACCCTTTGGTATCAACGCTTTCACTCTACGATATTGCCGGCACTCCTGGTGTTGCCGCTGATGTTAGCCACATCAATACCAGATCTCAGGTATACTTTCTATTTTTATCCTTTCCCGTTTCTATTTCGTAATTGTCATTTTTAATACTCCCTTTGTCCCAAATTTATGTGACACAGTAATAATTTAACTATTACAATTCTCAATTTACCTATAATGATGAGTTGTATCCACATACGCCTATGGTTTATTTTAGAGATTGAGTTTCAAAAGTTGTCTTATTTCTTCAGTTCCATACCTAGTCAATCACCATCACATAAATTATAACGGAGGCGGTATGAATATATGTGAACGAAATGAGATTGAGTGGAGTGGAATGGATATAGAAGATTCATATAATCAGTCAATTTCTAACTTGTTTAGGATTGAGATGTAATTGATTAATTGACGTATATGGAGTTTCAGATGGTTTGGTGTCATTCAATGTGACTCTGTTGTGTGTGTGTGTGTGCGCGCGTGTGCGGCTTCCACTATCTCAAGCTCTAGAATTTCAAGTGCTCTGATGCAGCAGTAACTTTTATTAGTCGTTGAATTGTATTGACCTGTTTCGGACACATCTATTATTTGCTTTAGGTCTGCAACACGCCTTCACATGCGCATTGTTGTTCTTTTTTTTCGTGAAATATTTTGTTGATGGATGCTAGGTCTCTTGTCTATGATGATACCGTATAGATTGTGCTTTTTGTCTAGTTCTTCTTTTTTTTTTTAGGTGAAAACATCTTGTTAATGGATGATGATGAGACCTGAGCACATATAGACATGGAGTACTGCAGTGCCAGAAGGTTCCTGGCCGGCCGGCTCAGGGAAGGCGATTTTAGTCTTACCTCATCATTGGAGATGCAGGTTTCAAGATTTGAACCTTGGTCACCTGTAAAAGCTCAGAGCTTCTCCGTTGCCGGAAGGCTGCCGTCTATCTATTTTGACATCATATTGAATGTTCTTATAGATGATGTGGTCATGCAATTCAACACTTATTTTTTGAGGACTTGATCTCATTTGCCTTTTTGAAAAATTTCTATGCATTTTATCACTTTTGTTAATAATCTGTTATTGTTATTTTTTACTTTAGGTTTGGTTATCCTCTCAGCTTCTGGTCCTCCTCTTCGGTTCCTTGACCCTAGACGTTTTTACTGGACTTTGCAGGTTGCTGGGTTTGCAGGAGAAGACCAGCTAGGGCAGGCTCTGGAAGGGTCTGACGTGGTCATCATTCCTGCTGGTGTGCCCCGCAAACCGGGTATGACCCGTGATGATCTGTTCAACATTAACGCTGGCATTGTTAAATCACTATGCACAGCTATCGCAAAGTATTGTCCTAATGTAAGTATCCTTGTGCACGACCTCTTGTTATTGGCTTAAAATATGAGTTAAGTCATTGGAGTAGCAGCTACTGATTCTCCTCTTTCTTCTACTGCCTCTCCTCAATCCATAAAAGGCCCTTGTCAATATGATCAGCAACCCTGTGAACTCCACTGTGCCAATTGCAGCTGAGGTGTTCAAGAAGGCCGGGACCTATGATGAAAAGAGGCTCTTTGGAGTCACCACACTTGATGTGGTTAGGGCAAAGACTTTCTATGCTGGAAAAGCTAAAGTCAATGTCTCCGGTGTGTCTCCTACTATACTTCATGCTTTGAAATTGCTTCTATTTCACCTTGTTAGATTTGTTCACATAATATAATCATCCCGACTTGTGTTTTGGTACTTTATTCCCAGATGTCATTGTCCCCGTGGTTGGCGGTCATGCTGGCATAACCATCCTCCCGCTGTTGTCCCAAGTAATTTTCATTTCTATGTTTCTTCAAGCTATTATAAGTGACTTCCACTTTGTAACTTAACTGAGTTTTTCCTTTTATCTCGAAATTTATGAAATAGGCTACTCCAAAGGCAAATTTGTCAGATGAAGAAATTGTTGCGCTCACCAAGCGAACCCAGGACGGTGGCACAGAAGTTGTTGAGGCCAAAGCTGGAAAGGGTTCAGCCACACTCTCAATGGCGTATGTTTCTATTCGTCCTCTTTTAATTATCTTACTTTTTGAGTGTTTTCTGAACTTCTTGGAGTTGGGCAATGGAAAGATTTTTCCCCCTGAGATTTTGGTAAAGAATACTTGCTATAGTGCCTGCTACTGGCTGGAATTAAATCGTCGGACATTGCACTACAGATGCTTAGCCTATGCTTCTACATGTTTTCGCAATTGTAGTATGTGTCATGACGATAACTTGAAAGTACAAACCTGCTTTTGCATGTTTCCTCATATGTCTACAAATGTAACATTATGCATGGTGGCCAGCATCAACACTCTTGAGTAGATTTTAGCTTGAATATGAAATTTTGGTGCATATAATGTTGCTGAGAACTTGCTTCACCTACAAAACTGTTAGAAGAGTTGGTGATGCAAAAGAAACAACAAGAAACCTTTTTCATTTTGTTACCTCTAAATCAACTTATTTGGGACTGAAGCGTAGTTGTTGTTTATCTGTGTAGCTTACGTCTTTGACAACTTCATCTGAACAATGAGTATTACTTTTGCAGCTATGCTGGGGCTATTTTTGCTGATGCTTGCTTGAAGGGCCTGAATGGGGTTCCAGATGTTGTTGAGTGTTCGTTTGTGCAGTCAAATGTCACAGAGCTACCTTTCTTTGCATCCAAGGTAATAATCCTCTACTGACCCTTCAGAGATGTGTGTGCATGTTTGTGGTAGACCTGTACTGAGTCTTGCAACTAGTGTTAGTTTTGTATTTTCGCTTCGGTTTTCGGATTGGTTTGCTTGTTATTGCCCCTTCCATTTATCTTTCCTGAGCCGAGGGTTTACCGGAAACGGCCCTTCTGCCTTCTTAAAGGTAGGGGTAAGGTCTGCGTACAACTACCCTCCCCAGACCCCACTTGTGGGACTACACTGGGTATGTTGTTGTTGTTGTTGTTGTTGTGCTGAGTCTTGCCATAACTCTTCTGTTCCTGTCTCTAAGAAAATTTTCCCTTTTATGTCAGATGATGTCATTATATGAAGTATCTGTATAATTTGGTCATCCCTTTCTCATTGTGTGGATGTTTTAAGAGCAAATTAAGTTCGACTTTCTGTTCTTGGGCATGGTGTAGGTGTAGATCTGTCTATTTGATCTGCGATTTTGTTACGTCTAAACCTTTCAAACAGAGATCTCAATGCAAAATGTTTTGAATTAGTCTCTCATTTGTTGAGAGAGCAGTGGATCCTAGTTATGCTCGTACAAAATATAGATGCCTGTTGAGCTGGGCTGCTGTCATCAAAAGTTAATATTTCACTCTTATGAACTTAACAAATGTAGTTTTCATTATAGGAGTTTCTTTGGTCTTTGTCAAGTGAAACAATCTCCAAAAAAGCTTTGAACTTTGGTTTTCGCTCAGCATTTTCTTGTTAATCCTTACTTATGATCTTGTCATGCTATACAACAATATCTTCTTGCTCACGAACTGGTCTATTGCTGGTTTTTACAATTCTGAGTTGGTAATCGGTTCTACCTATTTCAGGTGAGACTTGGGAAGAACGGCGTGGAGGAAGTCCTAGGGTTGGGCCCACTTTCAGACTACGAGAAGAAAGGACTCGAAGCTCTTCTACCGGAGCTGAAATCCTCCATTGAGAAAGGAATCAAGTTTGCCAACTCAAATTAAAAGATATATTACCATCTAGTATTTTCCAGAGTTACAGTTTTGGGATTCTTTTAGGCAGTTTGTTGTATCTTATGCGAGTTTCTTGCTGCCGGAGGCATAAAATTTAGCTCTTTCTGAGCCAGATGGGCTTTAGATATACACAACATTTCTGGAGAATAATGATTGGCAGACCTTGCATTTGCCTCTACATCCCAAAATAATGGTCTACAACATGTCAACTATTATTATCACTTCCAACTCCAAATTAGTTGGGTTGGTTATATACTTATATAGGATCCTGTGCATTCATTCGACTCAATTCGAGTTTGTTTCATTAGTCAAATCAGGTCTCAGAAATTAGTTCCTTGTTATTTCGAAGCCAGCACTGCCTCGTGGAAAACCTCTGACCTTTAAATATACGCTATATGCATTTAAATTATTGTGTTGTCAGTTCACTTATGGGTGGATCCATATTTAGGGTATAGCGTTTTTTTTGGGCGTTATATGTATAGCGTATGAATAAAAGACGCTATACCTTAATGGTAGACGTTACCATTAATGTATAACATCTTGTTTTTGCACGCTATATATAGAAATGTATTTTTTTTTAAACACCTATTAAGGTAATTTGAGTCCAAAAAAATAATATTTAGGTTCCGGACTCAACATAAGTGTGGGTATGACTGTGGGATCCATACCTGATCTGGTCAACCAATTTTAGATATTTGACCAAAATCGACGAAGAAATTCGGGACAAATACAAAAAATTTTAAAAACAAAACGAAAGCTAGAGTGATATGGAGGAAAATAAAATACCTCACATATAAGAATTTCTATGTCAGTCCTCTTCCTTTTATTTCCTAGGATTCTCCTCTTGTTTAATATTTCGAATATCTTATAAGTTTTCCACATAATGTCTCATAATTTAGACATATTTCTGTAACTCTATTTTTAAATATTTGAATTATTTTAGCCGAATCCCCTTACCAATATCCGTACCTGAATACATAATCCCGAATCTTATAATTTAGATCATGAAGGATCCAACATCTAAATTCGCACCTGTATCGGACACCCGAGTCCGAGCAACTTAGGCTTATACTATACAATAGATAATACATGTTATCCTACCATTAACTGCACATGTTTTTGTACACCCAGGCAGTTGCAGGAACTCACACAATCATGCCTAGTAGCTCTAGCAGCAGTGTAATCAAATGAATAAAATCCCAACACAAGATTTTTTCCACTCAAACTGGTCAAGCAATCTTGGCTATGTACAGGTGCTGCATTTCTCCCATCATCCCCGTACCCAATCTGATTTAGAATTCAGTTTCGACACAGAAACCACCTTGTATCGATATAGATATACAAGTTAAACGATGGTAAAAATGAATGATCCCTTTACGCCTTTCCAGTATCATCAAGGACCAGCACTTCATGACTCAAACTTGAAGTTCTTGGAAGAATCATCGATGAAGCACAAAGAAACACCCTTCAGACAAAGGGATTACCAAGATGTCTGTCCCAACACATTCCTGACGAACTCCTGCAAAACTAGAAAAGAACACTTCCTTGAATGATATGCAAGAGAGGGAAAGAAAAGAGAGAGGGGGG